CTTTGGAAGGTCAAAAATGAGATTACTTCTTGTTGATGCTTTCGCAGCGGTGCCTGGCAAAAAGCACAGCGGCGTGGGGATCACAACTCAAAACCGTATTCTAATTATGAAGGACCCTATATTAATAAGAATACCGCTAACCCCTAAAGCCCCAAGGCCCTGAAATTAAACCCTTTAAACCCTAAACCCCTGAGCTCCTATAAACGCTGAACCCTTAAGTCCTAAACCCTAAACCCTAAACCCTAAACCCTTAAGCCTCAAGTCCTAAACCTTAAACCCGAAACCCCTGAACCCTTAAGTCCTAAACCCTAAACTCTTTCGTCTCCTAGGCCCCCAAAAATTTCCCGGAACCGGCCGGCTTCCTGGGCCCATTTCTCCTCGCTCTGCTGGAAGAGCTGCTCTAGCGGTGGGTTTGACCCATCATCGACCACGATCACCTCCTGGGAGTAGTTCTCTAAGTGAGGGCTTTAGGGTTTAGGGTCTAGGGTCCGGGGTTTAAGGTTTTGGTTTAGGGCTCAGGGGCTTGGAACTCAGGACTTTAGGATTTTTAGGTTTTGTTGCCATCTTTGAAACATTATTAGTACCTAGGGTCATGGAGGTCGTTCTCCTTCTCCCAAGAGGGTATGGGGTGGGGGTCTTCGTGCCCTTTCTGTAGGGGCCCAAACAGGACATAAGCATAAGCATTTTAAGAGGTTTTTTGGGGGCACTATGTTACAACCTGTGTGTTACAAGGATACCGCCGCTAGCCTGGTGTTTGTTTGCTGCTGAAGCACGACACCATCTGCAGCCGTAGACAAGACCCCGACTGTGGTCTTTCAGGTTTGGGCTCTACTAGGGGCTTGTTTTTCTATATTCCTATGGCTGGATGCTTTGGGAGCGTTTAGACCCCAGTGGGGTTGGTCATTCTTGCGGTTTACTCATGGCTGGTCTGTAGGGCGGACGGCTTGATGGCAACTGGGGTTGTTGAAGACCTACTAGTAGCAGGGCTGGCTGGTCTTTATAGTGTGTAGGGGCTTGCTGTACTGTGTGGCGAGGTTAGGGCCCCATTCTTTGAGGTTGGGAGTCTACTGGGCGCCGATTGGTACTGCAATAGCCGTTCAGCTGTGACCCTGCGGATGGGTGGGCAACGTCGTTCACGTCGGCGTCAAAATGGTTACGATCACATCCCGATCGAACCAACGATCACATCCCGATCGAACCAACGGATCTTGCGGAAAGCTTAAGGCTGAGACGTTCTCAAGATCAAGGCAGATAGAGCTTGAGAACTTGAAGCTTCCCTTTGTAAGGTATATATGGCTCTACCTTCCCCAAGAAACGCCAGAACTTCCTTCTCAGAGATCCTTGTAAAAAAAAGTAACAGAACCCCAAACACAACCCGATAGCTAATCAAAGGGCCCTCCGAAGTGCAAGAGAAATAAGCCCCGAAACCTGAATCTAACCCTGAAGCCCCAAGGCCCGCCAGCCCCTGAACTCCCCAAAACCCTGAAGCTTGCGTCCCTGAGCCCTAAACCCTGAACCGTAAAGCCGAACCCTGAACCCAAAGCCCTTTCCTGAAGGTGTTCTGCAGGAGTGCGACGGCAGAAGCGCTCGACCGTCCAGATCGCCTGAAAGCGGCTTTAAGGTCCTGGCTTACGCAAGGCTAGCCTGGAATGGTTCAAGATTACGGCTTCAGGGCAAGAGTGCTTGGGGCATGAAAGTTTTCTTGAAAAGTCTCGGTTAGGTTTTAGGAGCTTAGGGCTTGGGGCTTCGGGCTTGCGGGGTGTTGGGGTCCAGGTTTTAGGATCAAGGCAATAGGGTTAAGGGCTTACAGGCACCAAGCCACATTGCGCCAGACACGCCACTGCCAAGAGTTCTGTCACATGTCATGCTGCTTGCTGAATCCCATAAATCTGCGCTCAACTCCTACATATACTCGCCAAAGTTCCTACTGGAACCTGAGTAGCATGCCAGTACAGAAGAAGTTCAAAACAAATCCTGCTTGCCGCAGATTCTGCATGAACACGCCAGGAAGCCTCGTGCACCTGGTTCTTCTTGTATACTGACTCCATTATCGGGTCCGAAGTATCCAAGAACGAGTTGACAAAAACAAGAGGAAGAGTAAAGGTCAGCCGGAAATCGCGAACCAGGTCAAATGCAACAACCAGAGCAGCACGCGCACACGAACTCCCGGAGCCGGGACCCATGTTAGCCTGAAGACTCAATCCGGACCGAAGCTCACAACCCGGAGATAGAAGCCTGGATAGATACCCATACTCTTCCTTGTAGGTTCCTAGTCCCCACAACCCTATCCTTATGAAGGCATGCAATGTACCAAATCGTCAGACCTAAACCCAAAAACCAACAAGCCTCAATCCCGAAAGCACGAAAGCCTAAAAACAGCCCGAAAATCCCTCCCCCCCCTAGAAGCAAAATCCTAAGCTTCCGTTTGGGGCTTCGGGCTTGAAACCTTGAGCTCAAAACGATGAAAATTCGGGGTTCCTGAGTTAGGGTTTGGGGTTTAGGGCTTAGGGTTTGGGGTTTTGGGGATCCAAGCTTAAAGAATTGCAGGACTCGAAGCTTCCAGTAGGCAGTCTCGGGGTTGGTGTTTGGAGTCTCTGGTTGTACATCCTTTTGGGGGGTTCCTTGCGAGTGGAAACCGACAACGACGAAAACGCAAAGTGGTAAGCTCCTCATGTAAGCAACCTTGAACCGGGACCCCAAACCCTGAACGTGAGACGCTTGAGTCCCAAGACAAAAGAAACATTTGGGCTGAGCAACGTTATCTCGCTCTTCGGCGCATGGGAGCACGACTGAGATCGTTCTCACATCTGACAGGGCATGCCGCATCTAAAGCAGATGAGGGTTCAGTACGTTAGGGCTTTGGGGCAGTACGTAGCATTTGGTTTGGCGTTTTGCTTGAGGGCCGGAAGGTTTGGGTCAATTGAAAGTGTAAGAAGCAAAGAATCCTAAACCCGGCGCGCGGGCCAGCATGTAGCGTGAGGGAGGGAGCTAACCAAAGTTACTGCGAAGTCTCAACACGAACATTCATCGCTTCAGCGCAAAGCCCAAGCCTGTTTAACTCGGGGCTCTGCCTTTCACAAGCGGCGACTAGTGACTAGTCATAAGAACATGGCTGGTTCACCCAGGAGTCTTGCTCTCTTGGAATCTTCTGGCACTCATATTGTAGAGGTTTGAACGAATCAATAATCATGTACCCTCCGTAATTCAGATCTATCTACACTGGAACACAGACCAGAACCCTGTTCAAGTCCCTTAATCCCGTGTCAATACTCTTGCTCAAACTACCAGATGTCAACGACTGATCAACATGGCCTTCAGCCCCACCAAAACATCCAAGCCCTCATCCAGAATGCCTAGAGCCCAAAGTCGCTTTGGTTTTAGTGCACAGGAACGCTGAACCTACAAGCAAGCCGGATTTTCACACAATGCCGTAGAATGCATTAAAGCACCCAAGTCAACCCTAAACCGTACGTGTGGCCCCAAAGACCTAGCTTTGTAAGGAGGTATGTATAGAAAACAGAATAAGGAACCCTAAAAAAGTAGGTCGTTTCGGCTACAGGCAGACCCTAAGTAAACCCGAAAGAACACCAGGACAACGAGCAAAAAAGGGCATGCGCCTTTGCGTTGCAGGTGGCCACCGATGCCTGGCCAGGCTTCCTTTTAAGGGTTTAGGGTTTAGGGTTCAGGGTTCATGGTTTTAAGGTTTAGGGTTCAAGTTTCAATTTCAGGGCTTTTTTTTTGAGCGCTCTTTTCCGTCTGCACGCGGGTACGGCCTACGGAAGCCTACTTGAGGCGAGCGAAGTCGGCTCCCTCATGTACCTCCTCTTACAGGAAGGAAAAACACGAAACAACTCGACCCCCGGCCATCGCAGACCAGGCCATGCATGCGGCGGAAGATTCTCGACGCCGCAAATCAAACACATAGTCAGAAAATTTTAGCAACATGCAATGAACTCGGCGGACGCAAGGTCTCTATCGCTTACTTTTCAAGAAACATGCACGGGGCCCAGCACCAGGCAACGGGAAGGCACTGAGAACCCAATTAGCACCTTTAGTTTCGGGTACCATCGGGGAGTAGTTAAACACATGAGGCGGACACAAGGTCTCTTGGAATACATCGAGATACAACAAGCACTGAATTAGTACCTTTTGCTGGCACAGAAGAAAAATGCACTTCAGTCACAGCTCAGACTCAGCGCATCTCAGAACATCAGGGGCTAAGACCCTTGCACTGAAAACACCATTCACCACCACCACCGCCAGCATTGTCCAGGGCCGCGATAGAACCATTGTCGACACAGTGGCCCGCTATTCACCAGAAGAAATATGGTTTTTGCTGGGCTCCACCGGCTTGGACCTCGCGAGTCCTCAGGTCCTCACAGCCCCCCGAGGCAAAGGCGCCAGCTGCCACCAAGGATCCTGGGTCTCCCAGTCGTCCAAGTCATAGTTTTCGCGCCGCATGAACGTGCCAGGGAGCAGGCGCGTCGCCCCAAAGTCTGCTGCCAGGTCGTCAAGAAGTAAGTTGGCGACCATGTGGGGAGCGGTCGTTTCGGACACGTAACTTTCGCCCGCACCGAATGCGATGTCCGAGTGCAGCTCTTGAAACTGATCGTTCTGCGCACAAACGAGCTCACCTCCACCTCCCCAAACCACAACATTGCCTTCGCCATAGCATCTTTGAATTACTTCCGCCACAAAGCTGTTGTTCAGTAGCTGAACCGCCACGCTTCGGTGGTGCAACATCTGACGTGTCTTCTGCGCTACTCCAAAGGAGTAGCGGTAGATCGCTTCTACAGAAAGGATATCCTCGACCACAGCACATCCTTGCGTCCGAAGGAAATGACATACTCGATTCGCCCATCCCGGCTTGCTGGGATGCACCTTGAGGAGGAGGTTCAGGAACAGAGGGGGCTACAATCAGACCAGGCGCCGGGGTCTCTGCTTCGGAGAGCGATGTCTCTTCCAGGGGGGGTTGTGTGCATGCATCCGCTACATCAGGCATGCTATCCGTTGTGCTATTGATGGACTCGCCACGACTGAGGCCCCGGTTTTCACATGGCAAACCTGTTTGAGGTGCATTTACATCCGTGAGGTCTAAGGCCGTGGTGGGGGCAGCTTTAAGGACAGCAAATTCGCGGAAAAGGAACTCTCCTACTGCCACTTGTATTCCTAAAAGCTTGAGTGACTATGTTCCAAGAAAGGCTACTACCAAGGACACAAGGATGCATTGGTTTCTCACTCACCGTTTGTCACGCAATCCAGCGAGCTAGAACCTTGATTTGAAGGTGATCGTTTGCTGCGCTTGTTCAGCTCCCAATCGCAGCCCAACTTCAGCCACAGAATCCCTCCTGCACCAGGTCCTGAATTCTGTATCGGTCAAGCCGGATGCTGCGCCGCCTGCCGTGCCTTACATCGAAACAGCTTGGGGCCGGGGGGGGGGGGGGCAGGGTTTGAATGCAATGTTCGGTTAAGGTTTCCTGCAGTTCAATGAAGTTCGTCTCAGATTAGGTCATGTCAGAGCAAATGTAGTTTGCAGGCTAGACGTGTCAGAGCACATGTAGTTTGCAGTCTAGACGCGGATCGCGTCCGTGTGACATGGGGATCTTGCTTGAGTGCGAAAAATGTCATAGTTGCTGCGGTGTGGCCAGCGACCGAAAGCGCAAGCACCGCTCTGGAAAAGGATCGAAGAAAAACCACAAGCAGCACCAAAAAGAGGCGAGCGTGCAAGGTGTCGTTGCTTTGATTGCCGCAGGCCCTCTGAATTTCGTGTGGAATCCGGAGAGAATCTTGATTGAGCATGCCCTATAGTTAGATTGCTTCTGCAATCAGACACCCAGACTCTCTCTCTCTCTCTCTCTCTCTCGGGTGAAAAAACGTCCGATCTTCCAGGCTGGAGCTGCAGCCGCTCAGAAGAAAGGCTGCCTGCTGTGCAACATGTTTGCTGTTTAACTGAGTGCACGCAGGCAGTTCCGGCATGGATCGAGTTGCCCTGGAACTGCTGCAGGCCCTGACGACCTTCACGACCTCGGGGATGCATTCGGTCGCCTGGCAGATCACCTGGTTGTTCTGCGGCTCATCCTGGGCTACATGGAGGCTTTTCAACAACCCTTACGCTTGCTCCCTTTGGACAGAAAAACTATGCTAGCATCAAAGTTTCACTAAAGCTTTTGTTCCAGCAGGGTCTAGCATCGATCCTAATGAAGTTACCGCCCTGCCAGGAGGCACAGCAAGCCTCGTCGAAAGGCTTGGGCTGCAGGCCGAGCTTGGGCTTGACGGTGCCCTTGCCAAGCAAGATTAGTTTCCATACGATTCCTTCTCATGCTTTTGAGATCAGGATTCGGTACCGGGGCCGAGTCTCGGAGGGACACTGATTCCTACACTCAAAAGTTCGCCTTATACCGAAATTCCGCAATTGTGAAGGTACAAATCAAGAAACCCTATCAGCATTGAGCCGAACCCCTCCAGAATGGAATCCCAAGCAGGTACAAGCTCGGCCTCCAATGCCGTTGCAGTCGCTGGCGGGATGCTGGCCCTGGCACGTGCCTGGACAGGCTGCCTCTAATTACAACTGGAAAAACGACCAGACGCAACACTCAAATATCTATCCTGATATGTGTAACTCCATCATATAGCGGCGTAGACTTCGGCTTCTGGCCCATCTTCAACCGTGGCAGTGCTTGCCGTGCCACAACAAGTGATGGCCCCCCCTCGCTTCCCAAATGTTCAATGAGTACTTCGGAACGCAGCACTCCTGAATGGGCAACCCTCTTCGCTGAAGACTGCAAACAGCAGCCCGAGCCTGTTCTGCGCAGTACTGCTTCGCCTCAACAGTGACAAACGGTCTGCGCGTCGATCTAGAACTGTCTTCGCAAGGCTACTGACGATTGTGCCGATTGTTGACCATTGGCTGTCTGGGAATTTGTCGCAAGTCACAATAATTACATGTCATGCTGCCTGCTTACATCGTAGAAAGCAGACTGCCATGCGTGTGACGAGCATCATGCGGCTATCAACACAGCACATAGAATCCCGCTGCGTATGTGCGGTTCCGGCCTTGTCCCATTTGACGGAAAGTGAGTCCCACCTCATCAGGGCAAATGTATGTCTGTTCTGTATATACAAAGTTTAGGTAGGTAGGTGGGTAGGTAGGTGGGGAGGCAGGTAGGAGGTAGGTAGGTCGGTGGGTAGGCAGTCACAAATAGGTAGGTGGGCAGGCAGGTGGGTGGGCTGTGCAGCCAGGTAGCGAGGCAGCAGGGTGGGTAGGTAGGTGGGTAGGTGAGCGAGGCAGGCAGGCAAGCAAAGGTCGGTCAGGTACGCCGGTTGGTAGGGTAGGTACATAATTCACATAAACTTGCTTGCTAAATGATCTTATTTCTAAATGATGTTAATAGAAATCCTAACATTACGTTACATGACACTACACTAAATTATACTTACTGTATGTTATATGATATTCATCAGCATACACGCATTCCTCAATGCGATGCGTGTATGGAGGGCCAGCCGCCCTGTCGGGATCAACTGCCACAGCATTACTGGGAGTGCGGCTTTAAGGTGTGGAATCAAACATCGCCTAATGCAACCGTCATGGCCTCGTGGGGGGTTGGGGTTAAGAGATGAAATCAACTGCCATCGCACAATGAAGGGGTTTAAGATATGGGACTTACCGCCACGATCTAAGGAGGGGTCGAACTTCAGATGGGAGATCAATCGGCATCGTCTAATGAGGCGTCGACTTTCAGTTCAAGACTCATGAAATCATCCGAGCATCGGAGTAGTTAGTGGGGTGGGGGGGCTACGATGTGGGAATCGACGTGTAAGGGGTGGCAGCCGGGCAGCAGTGGTGAAGCATGATCAAACCAGAACCCCTAGGACGAGCACCCCTGCAGCTTTCTGACAAACCCCCAACCCCCTTTTCGCCCCGGCCGCAGCTGTCCGGCTGGTGGCAAGTTTGCATTATGGACTCTATTGACTCTTTTGCGGAACCGATTACATGTGCCACCAGCCATGACCCGCAGACCTTTGAGCCTGAAAGAGAGAGGCATGGCCTCTACGACAAACTGCTCGTGCTGGAAGCTTGAGCCAACGCTGTAGACAGTAGAGCATCCCCTCTCACTGTCGGGGCCGAGCATCACGGCCAGGCGAAGGAAGCACGACCTGCTTTCACCTCCCCACTGATCCTGCCAAAACCCGCCAATAGACCTGACCTACATCCGCGGGCTCTACAATCCCAAATCCCTAGACCAGTCCGGCTACCTGACGTGATGGCGAAAGCGAGAGCCCAGCCCGGTCCAACTTCAGAGACAGGCTCTCGTACCTCAGCAGACATCTAACCAGATCCCGAAGGGCCGAACCAGTATTCGATTCTTCGACACCCAGAACCGAAAACTTTCAGGGGGGGCTTCAGGCTGAGGTTCAGGGACCTACCTATTTGCGTATCTGTTCAATTATCTCCCTAGTTACCCTTCTATCTAATTATGTATCTATGCATCTCTGTGGCGATCATTACCTATACCTATTCGATAATTCTGCCCTGCCTCATTCACCGCTAATTGTAGTGTTTCTGAAACACTCGGCCGCGAAACGAAAGCAAAGGGATCAACGAAGTGACGTCAAGCTGTCAACAATGGTGGGCACAAGCCGGAAATTTTGATGTTGCTGGTATGGGAAGCCGTCGTCCTCGCTTGCCGAGATGCAAGAAGTCGTAAACGCATTGGGCGCAGATGTGTATGTAGTGCATGTGTGCAACATTATACATCAACAGAGACTTAGCATAGCAACCGCAACTAGCTTGGACCAGCTTGGATGTATGAGGCCACCACTTGCCCAGTTACCATATTTTTGGCATGTCTTGAACATGTTTTTCGAGCGTCACGACCCCACAGCTCTGCAGTTCGCAGAGCCGTGCCAGCCCGAACTGCACACTACACATTGCCTTGCTCTAGCCAGTGACTTACTTTTCCATCGTCCGGGAGTTTGAATATAGTGGCACGCTTTATTATTTAGGAGATGAGATCATTCGCAATGCGACCTCTGATCCACCCTGCCTCTCAAGACTTATACTGTGTTCTCGCGCTTAAACCTGAACTTATTTCAACAGCCAGGCCCACTAAGCCAAAGGCAAGTCTACCCCCCAACTGCAAAGCTAGAATCTGGAATCAGCCTCCCTACTTCAGCACTTTGAGGAACAGTGTAATGTCAACTGGCATAGACATACTTGCGCGCTTCCGCTCCGATCGTCTGAAGATGCATGCTTCGCTGGGTTCCCGACCAGCACAGAGAATGGTGACGACTCACCGGCTAGTGCCACGCTGAAGAGGAATCGGAAGGCGCCTCTTCGGCGGCCAGCACAGGCCATCTCAAAACTCGCACGGACTGCAGTAAGACTCTCGAACATTCAGTGGGCTCAGGCCTTCTCCCAAATCCTGGGGTGAGTCTGGCGAAACCTGTGCCGTTTGTGCTCTCAGATGTTTCTCTTTCGTGTCTTGCAGGCCCTTCACTCTGCACAGCTGTAGTTTACAAAGTTTTGAGCCGAGTTGTTGTTGTGGTCAGAAGATATGCCCCTGGCAGTATCAATCAACACACAAGCCTCAACTTCGCCCACGCACACTTGCGTATCGAGACGCCGATCAAGCAGCAGAACGCAGAAGCTGAAGAAGAAGGAGAAGGAGGAGTAGGAGCAGGACCAGGGTAGAGTAGACTTCGACGCAAGTAGCAGTAGCAGGAGCAGCAGCAGTGGTGGTGGTGGGCGGGGAATCCTAGTAGATTATGCTGAGGGCATGGCACCTCATCAGTGGGCCCATGTTGGTGCGATTCGCACCGTGGCAAGGGATGGCCCTTCGGTGCCTTGCAATCTGTGAGCAACAGCTCAACGCCGAGCT